AAATAAACATTCAGTCTAAAAGATTAAACAGCACTACTACAATTACATTATTACACGTGGACATAGATTATCAATACTATTATCAATAGATAGTTTGCCACTCCCATTTGGAAAAATATTTATACAGACGATATTGGAACAATACCTAACAGAAGAAGCGACTGTCGTTTGTGTCAAATTCTCTTCCGCGATTTCCATTATTTTTCTCCCCGCTTTTGACCGATTTGCAGCCTGAATAACTTATGCTTATCGTCTGAGTGAGAAACGCAATTATATTATATTAGCAACAAATCGAAACCTTTAGTTTTTTCAGTGTTAATATATTTGGGAAAACATTTACCGGAAGAAAATTTTCTATTGCGTAAGTGGCAAACAGCAGGCGGTTTTATTTCTTATAAGTAACCATTTATTGCATTAGTAAACTTGAATATTTTTCAGAATTTACTCACATCAATATGCATTTCTTCTATTGCGCTTTCTTCTTTGTCCAACTGAGCAGCATTCAAACTACAGTAAGTTCATTTAAAGTTAAAAATACAATACAGCACTACAGGAAATTGAAGATTTCAAATTTTTAACACAGTGAGATTGATAACTTCATACAATTTGAGGAGGCGCAAACAGAACAAACAAAACTGCTAGATTTGTCAATGCAGGGATTGAATGACGAGCAAATGGGAAATTTGTTTTTGTTAGCCGAAGTAGCCGCTAAAATGCCGAAAGTCGAAGTAGTCACTAAAAATGCAGACGAATTTGACAGTCAAAATTTAACAGTCAAAGAAGAGAGCGTCAAACGAAATAGTGTAGGGGAACTCGCACGGAAGAAAAGGGAAAGGAAGAAATTGCTGTGTGATTTGTGTGAAAAGATACCACATATGAAAAACCATAAGATGGCTCATACCGGGGAAAAGCGGTACAGTTGTCCGACATGCGACAAAAGTTTCTCTCGATTATACAACAGGGATGTGCATATGAGAATTCATACCAAAGAGAAACCGTACATTTGTCCGAGATGCAATAAAAGTTTCAGACTAAAACAACATTTGCAAGGTCACCTAGTAACTCATGACAGGAATGAATGAATCTTCACCAGCACTGCCTGCATTAAAGGTTTCCTGAATAATCGCTTATAATTACAGAAAAAGAATCATGAAAGAGGCTGAAAGACGCATTTTGAAGTAAATTACGGCTTGTTTTGTTGGTTGTTTGATATTTCCTAGAGGTTATATTTCTATATTTAGTACGTTTGTACGTACGTTTGTTTAGTGTGCAAC